TATATGATTGGCCCTAGCCTGCAAGATATGATATTGTGGTTTTCGTTAGTTATTTATTAGATATGAAACAAGCATAAGGATGCCATATCATAGAGTACAAAGAAACACCAACTGTTGAATACAAAGACAAAAAAACAATGCACAACTTATATAAGAAGCCACTGCTGATTAGCGCGGCATTGCAACATCTTGTAATGCAAGTACCTAGACCATCTAATCTGTGCATGTTGCGGCAAAGAAAACAAGTATTGAATTGTCTCCACTACCCTAATGCTTTCGTATCTTCAAATGTTTATCTTGGTACAGTAAATATTAACCACCTTCATCATTTTCAACGTAAAAACTTGGGCTTAAAAATGGGAACAAATCCAATCGATTGTAGATCTTGCAAATAATTTGATAAAAACCGAACTTGAATTGAGGAATTAAACATGAAAGAATTGAAAGAGATTACAAGATAGATTGGCAGACGTTCGAGAGGTCTGCTAGCTCTCCCAAAAGTTACTCCCAAGCTCACAAATCAGTCCCTAATTCCCCCCAAATGCTAGTACCCCTTTTTATATCACTAATACCCCTCTAACAAACTGTACTAATACCCCTCTAATAAACTGCTGAAAGCTATTACTACACTCTTAATAATTTCTACTATCAAACTAACTTCCCAAGACCATCATTAACAAGTCCTATCATTACTCCCTGCCCCCCGCAAAAACACCTTGTCCTCAAGGTGTTGATCAGGTAATTGCACTTGAATGATGCCATCTTCTTCCCATTTCAATGCACGTGAACCTTGGAACGTTAAAAGTAGCAGCACATTTTAAAGAGCCAAACTCAATGCTAATTAACCCAAAAAAAGAGCCTTGGAAAGGTGAATCCAACCCTTAGCTCGCCGGAATACGCCCCAGTCGCATCATAATCACGAAGCCTAGCCCCAATTACGCGGAAATCAGCCCCAATTACGCGGAAATCACAGCACCCAGTCCAAATCCGGCCGGAATTTCAGAACTCAACCCAAATCTTGCTAGAACTCACACCGAATATCCCTATTACACCTGAATTAGGCCCAACCAAGCCCAATGTGACTCTGCCCACACTAGAATCTCAAGACCCAGCCAAATCCGGGTCTAATTCTCTGACTTGACGAGCCCCAGATAGGCTCAGCCAAATCGCGCAGCCAGACAAGCCCCCCTCTCTGCTTTTCCACGTCTGTTGGCGCCCCTTCCACCGGTTCTCCTCCGTGCGGCCTCTGGTCGTAGTTCAGCTCCAGCCCATCGCCAATCAGCACTCCACGGCACCACTCCCCGCCGATCTGACCTCCAGGTCGTGGATCCAAAAGATTATGGTCGCATCATAACTCCCGCCAACCCTGAGCATCACCCAGGCCCAAGCCCCAACCGGCGCCGATCTGCTGGTCCCGTTGCAGATTGGGTCGATCTCGGTCGAGATCGACCCCCCCGCCGCGCAGGTGCTCCTCGCGTTCAACCACCTTCCCCTTCGGCAGTCTGATTTGCCCTTCCTTGTGCGGTTCCACACGTATTTGGCCAACATCTCCAAGTCTGAAAACCCTAGCCTCTTCTCAGGGAAGATCCGCCTCCTTCCCTAGCCTCCAATCATCATCCGCCCTCAGATTGATGCCGATTGACTCAAATCTGAGCGACATTGCACCAGATCGCGAAAAATTGCTCGGAGTGCCGTCAGCCTCACGTGATTCCAGATCTTTTCGCATTTTCTCTAAAGTTGTTTGTCGATTTTGACGTTCCAAATCTGGTTGCGACGAGCCACCGCCATAAACATGAAGATCTGAAATCATACCTACGTCCTGTGGCCAAACCTTCATATTCGTTTCCGAAAGCAATCTTTGTGTTGGTCTGAAACATTGAAGCAAATTCATCTTGAATGCACTCTAACAAACAAATGCTTGTCTTCTATCCTCCCACTGAAACCAATCTAGTGCCTCATCTTCCATGAATTCCTCTGCAAACTAGACCTTTTCACATTCTGAAAATCAATTTTTCAGATGATATTCTTCCACTTTTACGATCCAAGAATCTGGATATTCTCCTGAGAACATTGGCATTTCTAATCGCTGCCAACATCCACACGTTCCAACCATTTCTATGCCCAAGAAAGTACTGCTATGATACCAATTTGATAAGAACCGAACTTGAATTGAAGAATTTAACAGGAAAGAATTGAAAGAGATTACAAGATAGATTGGCAGACATTCTAGAGGTCTGCTAGCTCTCCCCAAGGGTTACTCCCAAACTCACAAATCAGTCCCTAATTCCCCCCAAATACTAGTACCCCTTTTTACATCACTAATACCCCTCTAACAAACTGTACTAATATGATAAGATCTCAACAGGTCCAAGAACAATGCTAAAGAAAAGATTGAGAAAGATGAAAATCAGCTTGAGTCCTTTATTAACGGTTGCAAAATGTACACCGATATGCGGATCTTCGAGGGGCAGCGATTAACGGTTGCAAAATGTACACCGATATGCGGATCTTCGAGGGTCCGCTGCCTCCCCATACTTGGAATGGTTCCAAGATTTTTACAGAAAACAGATAACAGAATGATTTCCTCCCCTCCTCTGTTTTCCCTCCCTTTTATACCTTCTCTTATTGACTCCCTACCCACAATCTTTCTTAGCAAGCTACTAATACTAACAATCTTTCTTAGTAAGCCACTAACAATCTTCCTAAACAAGCTTTCCAATGTCCTTTTATTCTTCCTAATCAAATCACCTAACTAACTAACTTCTAGGTATCATTACCGCCCGCCCGAAAGACACCTTGTCCTCAAGGTGTCGGTCAAGAAATCACAGCCGAATGACTCCACCTTCTTCCCAATTTGATGAGCTCGGATCTTAAATTGTTAAATGCAGTAGCGAATCTAGGAGAGCCGAAATAAACAGTGAAGAACTCGGAAGCAGTGGGCATTGGCACAATAAGGCCAATTTGAAGACCTAAGTACATATCTTGCTGAAATGGTCCCAATTTCACTAGCACTTTGAGGCGCAACTCCCATTACACCTGAATTAGGCCCAACCAAGCCCAATGTGACTCTGCCCACACTAGAATCGCAAGACCCAGCCAAATCCGGGTCTAATTCTCTGACCCGACGAGCCCCAGATGGGCTTAGATTGGGGCTGGCTTCCCGCTCCGAATCAAGCAACCAGACAAGCCACCCTCTTTGCCTTTCCACGTTTGTCGGCACCCCGTCCACCGGTTCTCCTCCGCGCGGCCTCTGGTCGAAGTTTAGCTCCAGCCCATCGCCAATCAGCACTCCACGGCACTGCTCCCCGCCGATCTGACCTCCAGGTTATGGATCCAAAAGATTATGGACGAATCGTAACTTCCACCAACCCTGAGCACCGCCCAGGCCAAATCCGGCGTCGATCAGCCCTCCCCGTTGCAAATCTGGGCTTGGGTCGATTCTAGTCGAGATCAACCCCTCCACTGCGCGGGTTCTCCTCGCGTTCAGCCACCTTCCCCTGTGGCAGTCTGATATGCCCTTCCTTGTGCGGTTCCACACGATCCTGGCCAACATCTCCAAGTCCGAAAACCCTAGCCTCTTTTCTAGGAAGATCTGCCTCCTTCCCCCGCCTCCGATCATCATCCGCCCTCAGATTGGTGCCGATTGACTCAGATCTGAGCGATATCGCATCCAATCGTTTAAAATTGCTCGAATCGTTGTCATCCTCCCGCGATTCCAGAACTGGTTGCGTCAGCCCACTCAGATCTAATCGCAGATCGTCACACAGACCAGTTCGCAGCTCATATGGCGTTGATCGTTGGCGGTGTTCATTGGGTTCTGATCGCGTTTCCCCTAGCGTTGCTCATCGGATTCGGTCTCCTAGATTTGGTTGCGAACCTCCAAAAACCCCAAGATTGGAAACTCTTGGATCTGAAAACCTAGATTTCGACTCCAGATCGCCGTTCATCTTGCAATCTAATAGCTCTTGACGTCGATTTGCTGCTATGGTCGACGCCCCCGCCACTCCAAATCTCTCCATCCTCTTTAGAAGTTGTTCCAGCTTTTGAACCATGGCTTCAACCTTCGCAATAGAACAGTTTCCCTTTACTGGTTGGAAACATTGAAACAAATGCGTCTTAAAAGCACTCCAACAAACGAATGGCCGCCTTCTATCCTCCCATTGAAACCACTGAAGAGCTTTACCTTCCATGAACTCCCCAATGAACATCACTTTTTCTTGCTCTGAAAATCGATTTTTCAAGAAATATTCTTCTACTCTTGCTATCCACGCATCCGGATCTTCTCTAGAAAACATTGGCTTCTCTAATTGCTACCAACGTCCATATGTTTCCTCCATCTTCTCTGAATTTCGCCCAAGAAAGTGCTCTGATACCAATTTGATAAGATCTCGACAGGTCCAAGAACAATGCTAAGGAAAAGATTGAGAAAGATGAAAATCAGCTTGAGTTCTTTATTAATGGTTGCAAAATGTACGCCGATATGCGGATCTTCGAGGGTCCGCTGCCTCGCCTTACTTGGAATGGTTCCAAGATTTTTCCAGAAAACAGATAACAGAATGATTTCCTCCCCTCCTCTGTTTTCCCTCCCTTTTATACCTTCTCTTATTCACTCCCTACCCACAATCTTTCTTGGCAAGCTACTATTACTAACAATCTTTCTTAGTAAGCCACTAACAATCTTCCTAAACAAGCTTTCCAAGTCCTTTTATTCTTCCTAATCAATCACCTAACTAACTAACTTCTAGGAGCCTATCATAATACCCCTCTAACAAACTGCTGACAGCTATTACTACACTCTAACAACTTCTACTATCAAACTAACTTCCCAAGACCATCATTAACAAGTCCTATCACAATTATTACACAGATCCAGAAGCAGAATATACGCAGCAGACACGAGCTTATTATTAACAAACATTTAAAAAAATAGACTAGGTTTTAGCATTGACCCATACCCATACAATGGAATTGAAAACGTAAGACAGTTGCTGTTATGGTATAGGAATGACAAATTTTTGGTGTTTTTGCCTTTGATTTTTATATTTTTACAATAGCAGTTGCAATGTTCATGTATACATCTCAGGAATTAGAGGCTTTTAAGCCGATATCTTTGGAAGACTTTACTTTCCTAATTGTAGAGTTTGCAGACATAGCAATCAAAAAATAAAATTTGGTCCACAACAATATAGATTAAACCCATTCTGGGAGTGCATTAACCTGAATGGTCTATGGAGCCAAGCAGTTCTGGGAGTGCATTAAGCCCATTCTCAGACTTCCCAAACCCACATTACTCTCAGCTAAAAGGGAATCAGAATCACCCCCTTTGGCCTCTTGAAGAGACAAGCCCTGGAACGCAGTTTTCTGAAGAGCAAAAAGAGAGTAAGCTTATTAAAGTTAAATAGGAGAACTCCACAGTGAGTCAATATATATATATATATATATATTTACTCTACTGGTGCTTCTCTCTTCCAAATTTATCTAATACTAAGCTCTGACCTATAGTTTACAATTTCAACACCCAAAAACTCAGCAGGACACAGCAGAGACTAATTTCTATTTATCACATGGATCAATAACAGGGTCCAACCAACACTAAACAATTCTTAAAACTCACGATGAATACATTCATGACAGACCAACAACAAAAGTCCTCATATAAATTAAAATCACCTTGCCATTTTGAGAATTGTTTCCTCAATAATTTGTATGCCTTCAATTCCTTCAGCCCAAAATTCATAACAGAAGTGAGGCCTAATGGCTTGTCCAGTGTCCACCTCAACCTGAATGGTCTATGGAGCCAAGCAGTTCTGGGAGTGCATTAAGTCCATTCTCAGACTTCCCAAACCCACCTTACTCTCAGCTAAAAGGGAATCAGAATCACCCCTTTTGGCCTCTTGAAGAGACAAGCCCTGGAACGCAGTTTTCTGAAGAGCAAAAAGAGTAACTTTATTAAAGTTAAAAAGGTGTTCTTAGTTAGGAGAACTCCACAGTTCAGCAGGACACAGCAGAGACTAATTTCTATTTATCACATGGATCAATAACAGGGTCCAACTAACACTAAACAATTCTTAAAACTCGTGATGAATACATTCGTGACAGACCAACAACAAAAGTCCTCATATAAATTAAAATCACCTTGCCATTTTGAGAATTGTTTCCTCAATAATCTGTATGCCTTCAGTTCCTTCAGCCAAAAATTCATAACAGAAGTGAGGCCTAATGGCTTGTCCAGTGTGCACCTCAACCTGAATGGTCTATGGAGCCAAGCAGTTCTGGGAGTGCATTAAGCCCATTCTCAGACTTCCCAAACCCACCTTACTCTCAGCTAAAAGGGAATCAAAATCACCCCTTTTGGCCTCTTGAAGAGACAAGCCCTGGAACGCAGTTTTCTGAAGAGCAAAAAGAGAGTGAGCTTATCAAAGTTAAAAAGGTGTTCTTAGTTAGGAGAACTCCACAGTGAGTCAATATATATATATATATATATATATATATTTACCCTACTGGTGCTTCTCTCTTCCAAATTTATCTAATACTAAGCTCTAACCTATAGTTTACAATTTCAACACCCAAAAACATTGATCTTCAGCA